ATATTACTTTCTTTTAAATTCTTTTAATTGTTTTTTGAAAAAAGAAATCAATATCGTATAAGACCTAAATATATTTCAAATAAGAATTTCTATGCTCATAGAATTCGTATATCAAAGTATTTATTTATATCTATCGGTTTTTAAATATAATCAGGAAATCTAATATATAGATTTTCTCTGAATTATTTGCTAAATCAGAGATATATAAGTCGGAAAGAAAGGCGGAAATATTAATTTCAATATTCTTAATNNAAATAATATCGAATAGAAATATTTAATTTTAATTTCTTTTTTGTGATATTTATTTACGAGATTTATCCATATCTCAATCTAAAATATCATTTCCAATTATCTCAAACATTTAATCTCAATATGAATATTTCTATTGATAAGTTTCAAAATTTTGATTCAATCTTTATATCAAGATCTTATATTTCAAGAAGAGATCGTAAATTTTTGAGATTCTGTAGAATTCATATATGATAAATTGAACAGGATATAATGATAGCACGATTCATCGTCTTACGTTATTCTGGGAAGAGACGAAGGATTTCAAAATATAGATCTATGGAATCGTGTAGAGAAAAAGTGCGAACGCATTTCTGTTCTGATATAGAATAGATATCTATCTAGTTTTGATTGTTTTCTCTTTTTCTTTTCTTCTTTATCTTTATTTCTTTTTCTCTTTCTCTCTGTTCTTTTCTCTTTCTGACAGGGGCATTAGGAATTATTCTAGAATTGTGATTGGAGTATCTGAGCTTCCAGCATGAACGGTAGGAGCAAAATATCAGTATCAGTGGAAGTGATCGCCTTTGGCTCACCATGCGTGCCCTTTAAAGCTATTCGAGGAAACACTGCAGACATCGATGGACCATGCATCTCGAACATGTAGGTGGAATGCCGAATTGAATTTGCAAGAAGCTGAAGACGCGGAATTTAATTGCCGTTTCTGTGTGTCTTTGCTTTCCCGGAACAACTTCTCCCACATCCATATACGCTGCGGCAGAGTTTCTCCGCTTGGCACGGAAAGCATCAGAAGTCTTTTCCCGACCGCAATGCATGTCTAGGAAGCCTTGCAGAAACTGCTCCATAAAGCGACTTGTGCCCCGGAACAGCTACGGTGAGAATGAGTGACACGAAAGACTCTACGCATAGCACTGCCATGTCTGTGACTGGCATGCTGCCGATTAGCAGGCGCCAGCGCAACGGCCATCGGTTTTTACAGCGCCTACGCAAGTCTGCCAGCATGCAAGGGCCGAGCGCGAAGCTGCTCAAAACTAAGACTGAGACACTTTTCTTTGGAGTAAGCACAAGAAGCCCGCGCCCGACCGCGAACGAATCAACCCTTCACCGCCGCCGGCTCCTTTCGATGTGGAAATTGCAGATGTAGAAATTTACAAGCAAGGAGGGGCTGCCACGCAATACTGAGCTCAGGTTTCTGCAGTAATCCTCCGCAAGTCCGCTATGCACAGTTCCTCTGAAATCCGACAGTGGTAGCAAGTTGTGCCTTAGACCCAGCTCCGATTTAGTTGCGAGTGTTCCCATCTTCAAGTGATTGCTCTTGCGAGGCTCCTTTTGCCACATCGCTGCCAGACGAGGGTCCTCCTGCAGCATCCTCTCCAGATCCTGAAAACGGAAGACACCAAAGACGTCATGGACCAGACCCGGCGCCAAGGCTGAGCCCCCATGGGATGCCTGTGGCGAGTTCACACAGGGTCCTGGAACTTCTCAATCGCCTGCATCTCATGTCGGGCCAGCCGCTGCTCCAAGATCTGCGTCCGAAACATAGCTTGGTTCTGGTACCTTCCGGGGCAAATTCCAGCCAGCCGCTGCCTCTCCTACAGCCCTTGCAGCTCCCTGAGTGACAGCGACACCCCGCACAGAGCAACACTCGACCCCAGAGCCGCTGAGGCACTGTTCGAAGTCGCGCTCATCCCGCTCCACGCTGTCCCCTCGGCGCTGCATCTGCGCCCGTCGCTTGCGGAGCAGCTCTTGCTCCTCCTGAGGCAACGAGAAGCCAAAACAAGCTTGCGAGACGGAGCGAAACGAGCTCGGAGGGTCGTCCTCTAAACGACGCTGGATGATCTCGGCCCTATCTGTGAGGCGCTTGCCTGGCATAAAGAATCACAGCAGGGCAATTTGTGGTTTCTCTATCGCTTCGACCTGCAGAAAGCAGGCATTAGATGCTCCGTCGCGCGCTTAATGCCCAGCCTTCGTGACTAGGTGATTAGGAAATGTTAGAGTCGCGTTGCTGCTCCTGTGCCGTTCTCACCAGTTTGAGTAGCTGCTTTACAGGAGGTCTGTATCGCATGCCGGGCATGCACTGCGATTTGGATTTCAAGCTTCGGATGCCAGAAGCAGCAGCCTCTTCAGCAGGTCACAATGGCACGAGCTTGGCAAATCGCAGCAACTCGGCGCGTTTTGAAGTCAGGTTTGTGTGGTCACGGCCGACGACAGCCACGGCTTCTCCGAATCGTCCACGATCAGACTTACAGTGCCTTGCTATCAGTCGGTCTCCTAGAGCACTCATCAGAATTGCAACGCCATGTATTTATTAACCAGGAGCTGAAGGCATGGAGCAGAACACGACTGTTTCAGAATCATGCATTCTCGGTGTTGTACTTCCTCCGATTCAGTTGTGGTCTCATACCTGCCGCGCCGCTTTGCGTTGTCGGCGCCTGATGCGTCGCCAGCACTCTATTCAAGGCCCCACCGTCTAAGAATGTAGTCCTGTCTGTGACACACGCAAGGTGAGACATTGTACATGCGTTTGGGGTGTGGCTTGCGGAGCACCGGCGGAGCCTTCAAGAACTTGTGGACTACAAAGATGCTGCGCATCAACTCTGCTGCTGGCTGGAATACAGGCTTCACTCGAGAATGATCGCGGAAACACAAGCCGAAGAGACGGAAATCCGTGGTGCACTTCTTGGCCACGAGCTCCGCCTTTCAGAAACCAGCCCACACCGAACTGGAACTGTGTTTCTTTAAGCGGCTATGAATTGGCAGCAATCTACCGCTACTACGGCTGCGACAAACTGACACTGCTATGACTACAACCACTGCGACGGCGACTGCAGTTGCTCCGCTGCTGGCAGAGCCCTAGCTGGAACGTGCCTGCAGCGAGTCGAGCTGCACAAGGCCGGTCTCCTCCGCGGTGCAAAGAGTGTGTCCGCTGTTCACACAGAGCATCACAGAGCACAATAGGAAAGCGTCACCGGTCCGGTGAAGTTCTGCGCCAAACTGGATGTAAGCGCTGGGATTACTGCTGGCTGCTTCAGTTGATGCAATCAATGCATGCTGGACACCGGCCTCTTGATTCCAGACCGGGCGTTCCTTTCAGAAACTCATCGGTCCTTGTTGATGAAATCCACCAGATACGGAGCAAGGATATCTACCTTTGGGGCTGCGAGCTGCAGCAAGCCACGTCGACTCGAGAGGCTTTGGGATATTCATGAAAGCGCAGATGCAAAGGAAGTTCTGGACAGAAGATGTGAAGGGGGATCGTGTAATTCCGCTGGAATCTACCCACACCGTACCGGAAATCAATCAGCCTTCGAAGTTTGCTCTTCCTGCTTCTCCTCTTCGGCACCTTCTCTGGTTCCTTCGAGGGGCATCTCATAAAAATCGCTTGCACAGGGGCTAACAGGCAAAAGCCCACCTTCCACACGAGCGCTCTCGCGAGCCAGGTCATAAACAGACGGCTCCAGCACATCATCACGGCTGCCTCTGCAGTTGGATCTCGAGAAGACTCCATCAACATGACGCCACTGATACTCCAGGGGGTGAAGCATTCAGCAAGTCAACCTCCGGTCACTGGGCGTTATGAACTGACTTCCTACTGTCCCACTGCCCCCCCTCCACTCTACCTCCCACCCAGACCCCGTGCTAGCTTTCCACGTAAAGCGCGAAAGTCCACTCTGTGACCCGCAGCGCTTATCATTACTGAAATGCACATCATACCAGGCCATTTGTCTCACACAAAGGAGCAACATCTCGGACTGTCTGAATCCTGCCCTGCCGCCTGTCTCGTCAACGTTTCAAGGAGCGGCTTAGGATTTCGGCGCTCACAACTCGGACAATCCAAGTGACGCATGTGGCCACGCGGTCTGATGATGTTTACGGGCCAACCGACAAATGCCAACCTCAATAATGCTTATAGTCTCACAACTCGGACGATCCAGGTGGAGTTCATAGAGAGGCTTATAGGGCATAGGGTTCAAGGTTTACGGTAGATTTTGGCCTTCGCGTTCAGGGACTTTTTCTACATCACAATATATCACAGACACACACACACACATATATATATATAATCTTTTGGGCGGCCCTATGCAATCTCCACCCACCATCCTGTGAGAATAACGACAAACATGAATTTGGTGCGGAGGTATCTTGCACGTTGGCAGGAGATCCTCACATCCCTCAACAAACCACTCCCACTGTGAGGGAGAGAAAACTGCGTAGACATACAAGAGCCAGGACTGCGCAATGTGGCCTGTGAAGGGCTTCTACTCACCGAAACCAGAACAGCTCCACTTACCGCCATGCGTGCTGTGTCAAGCCCAGCGCTGCTACAAACGACATGCCGTGTCCAGCTCCAGTTAGTTGCCAGTGCAGGTCCAAAACTGCTTCATGCTCGGGCGCATCCCGAACACCTGCGCTTGTGGAATGCAGCCATGCCCCGATCTGTGAGGTCGGGAGCGGAGAGAAACGAGGCCGATGATCTCCCGCCTGGAGGAAAACTGTACAACATCCCTTGGCATCCCAAATCAAAGGTTGTGGTCATGCGCCGGCCCTTCTCTGCTTCGTCGGCGAAAGGCATGCCCTGGAAGGAGCAGCTCGGTGCACCCGGTCTCCCACGTGGAGGGGCAGAGAAACGCATGGCTGTGAGATTGAGCATCGCAGGCTGTGAAACTTAATGGGAGGAACAGCAAGCTGAGCTCGGGCCGAGACCTCGTAAATAATCTTACATGTAATAAATATTTTAGATGTTTTGCAGATTATACAGATTTATACAGGTGCATGACCCAGGATGCAAGAACTCTCGGCCCCTCAACATTATGCCAAAGCAATTCCCGTTGAAAGTCCATCATGCGACCAGATTTTGAACGTGCGCGCTTTGCATCGCCACGCGAAATCATGTCCTCGCATGAGCAATGTGACTGTGGTAAAGAAACCATGTCTCCATTTCCTCGTGTGGTGAAGCCATGGCCTCGAATCAAAGTCATCCTTCAATCTGCCCCGCCTCAACCTTGCGCTCAACCCCACACCAAAGCAGTACTTCAAAACCTTCCTGATGATGGCGCGATTTCTGGTTTATGGTTGCTCCACAAGCAAAGAGAGTGAACAGCGCCTGGGATTGTGAGGTCCCGCTTCTTCCCTGCTGAGACAGACCTCATGCCGCGGATGCTGATCTCATCCTTTCGGCGCGTGGTCAGCTCCTGGAGGACATGGCTTTGCTGGCTGCTCTTCCAAAGCGTATGGTCCCACGTTTAACAGAAAGAAACCATGCAAAGAAGAGTGGCCTCAGTACCTCAGACTTCTGCATCCGGGCTCGAGGTGATTTCGCTACCTCGTAAATGTCTCGGCATGATTGTTTGGAGCTGAGGCTTAAAGGTTTGGCTTAAAAGAACTGCGGGCATCTTTTTCATGCTGACTGCGCCGCACAGTTCCCAAAAAAATACCCGCACCTGCTTAAAAGTACAATCACGCCTGTCTTTTGTATACTCCACGCCCCACCGAAACATGTCAGGAAAGAATCTTTTCCAAGCCCAATATGCCCTGAAGAATCGGATCCAGCTCAAGGTTACGCGTAGATCCTAAAGTCCTTCTTGAGGAACTTTATATTCCTGTGATCAACAAACCTGTTGCAGTCCTGCTGGATGCTGGTATGTGAAGCCATGATGGTGTCCCGACCTCGAGCCGACGGGCACGAGCAGTCTAATGAGAGGAACAAATGCCATATTGAAATGGCCCGAGAGACTTGATTCCGAGCCCGCTGCAACTGGACTGCATCTGCAGCAGTTTGTGAACCTGAACCTGGCAAACCCTTGCGGAACCGACGAGCCCCACATGCAGCCAAGCACGACATCTTCAAGCCTGGGTTGGCTGTCGCAAGTTTGATGGCCGGCGACGGAGGTTGCCGTCTTCATAGTGGTACATGGCTTGGCCTGAGACTCTCATTTTCAACCACGGCAGATGCACTTAGGCTGTGAAGTTCAGCCGTCCAGGCCGTCGCACAGCTGTGTGCGAGTCGACATGCCAGTGGGCCAGCAATACACTCCAAGGTCCCTGGGCCAATTGCAGGAAAGATACCAAAAGTCAATGAACCAGGTTCTCGATGGTAGTCCACTCGTATCTTTCCCGTTGAAGAGTAGATCGAGGACGAAGTTTGCTCCGAAAGGTAAAAGCCTCGGGCTCGCAGGTACCAAGCTGGCAAACACAAGTTGCTTGGCGAGGAACGTACGCAGATCTCAGACGTCCGTAGAAGCAAAAATCCCTCGTTCAGCAGGGGCACTAATCTTGGCAATGTCCTCATCGGCTGGAACCTTCCGGGCTGTACTTCATGATAGAGACTTGCAAACTGCTCTTCATGGGGAGGCAGCAGCATCGCCCGCAGTCGTCAGTCCCATTGTTTCGCGAACTGACACGAAGAAGACATTGCCCCACCTCAGGATTGCGAGCATACTTCTGCGTCATCTTCTTTATGGGCACTTCTCCCACGGAATCGACGGGGTAGGTGTCCTGACCGAGTAAACATGGCAAACTATGTGCACTGTGTGCTGCTAGAGGTCACCGAGAGGGGCAAAGACAAACCAAGAAAATTGCGGCAGTTGGTGAGTTCTCTCTCGCGAGACAGCTACTTATGTGGGCGTTTGGTGGTGGCGTCTTTGCCCTCGAGCGTGCCAGAGACTCAAATTGTTCGACAAAATGGCGCTGCTGCGTACAACTTACTCAGATTTGTGCTGCGGACCAATGGCCAAGGTATATTATGACTTCTGGCTTCGATGATCACAGCACGAATGGAAACAGGAATAACAGCTAAACTGACGCGACGTGCTGGTGTACAGCGCCCCGCACGTCAAAGTGGTCTCATGCCATGAACAGCCCGGGGAGTCCTTGCTCTTGGGCCCACCACGGAGCGTGCCATTGATCATGGCTGTAGGATCCAAAGTCACCTCATAATTTGAGCTTGTGCTCAGCACTACTGGCCATAGGGAAACCACAAGAAGCTTCGGACCCTCAGGAGTTGCAAACACTACTGTCATTGGTAGTGTCGACGACATAACCGTGGGAAAAAGAGCGCCGAGGAGCGAAGTGGCTGTGCCCAGGATTCGTAGGCGAAAGGTCACTCAAAATGCACAGAACCTGCTTGCTAAGTCGCAGAATGGTAGATCAGTCGGTCATCTCGATCTTCAAAGTACTCAAACATCTTCCTGGCGGCCGAATCACGAAGCGGGCCTTCTTTCGAAATCCCGAACAACACATAAAATCACAGAGCGTGTTTCCAACTCGTTGACTGGCAGCCCCCGACAACTCAGCAAGACGAAGACCCCACAGCCTGGACCCTACTCACGTCAGTGGTTGGAGAGTCAGAATCCGGTGCGCAATCGACTACGCGGCCTGAAGTCTCTTCAAACTATGGAGCTTTCGCCTGTAATGAAAGGTTCCTGCCCTCACGTCGTCCTGTCTCCCTGCACGAAGTCTTACAACATTCTACCCTTTCCTTGCTCCCTGCGACCATGTCCTGCCAATGATCTCGACCGAACGGACGAGGCCATCCAGGCGAGACTTGTAGAATATCAGCTCGCGGCTCAGGGCGCTGATCTGGACGGGGATCACAAGGTCACCACGTGTCTGCCAACTTTCCAATGCCAACCCACTGTCTGATGCCAAAGCTAACGCTTGCAAGACCCCTGACCGCACCAACACGATCTCGATCTCAACAGGTTGACTTGACGACTTGACTGACTTGACCACGCCCACCTGGCCAAGATTAGGCCGGTCTAGACCCGGATGCACACAAAGAGACTGTGCTCTCGAAATATCTTCTAGGGGTACGGACGATATCAGAAAACAAATTCGAAAACGGATCGGACGATCCCGGAAAACACCGGACCAAATCAGAAAACAAAATCGGAAAACGGAAAGCCGAAATCAAAAAACGGACGCAGGAAAATCAGAAAACGGGGTGGACAATATCGGAAAACATGACGGACCAGATCAGAAAACAGGGCGTTCGAAAATCAGAGAACAAGAAAACAGGACAAACGAACGGCAAATAGAGCAACTGCAATGGCGTGACGTTGTTGGAGACCACACTTCTGTACAGAAGCGCCGCTCTGCATTGCTAGGTTTGTGGCCAAAACCGAGGGGTGAAAAGAGCGCGGCCTTCCTTCACCACTCGGTTTGTGGCCAAGACGTACAGAGACGTGAAAGGACCGCGGCCTTCTTTCACCTCTAGATTTGTGGCCAAAACAAAGAGGTGAAACGAGAGCGGCTACATAAACCGAGGGATGCAGGGACCGCGGCCTTCCTTGACCTCCCAGTTTGAAACCACAACCGAGGGGTGAAAGGAGCGCGGCCTTCCTTCACCTCTCGGTTCGTGGCCAAAACCGAGGGGTGAAAGGAGCGCGGCCTTCCTTCACCTCTCGGTTTCTGGCCAAAACCGAGGGGTGAAAGGAGCGCAGCCTAAACTGAGGGGCGAAAGGAGCATGGCCTTCCTTCACCTCTCGATTTGTGGCCAAAACAGAGGGGTGAAAGGACCGCGGCCTTCCTTCACCTTTCGGTCTGTGGCCAAAACCGAGGGGTGAAAGGAGCGAGGCCTTCCTTCACCTCTCGGTTTGTGGCCAAAACCGAAGCGTGAAAGGTGCGCGGCCTGCTTCACCTCTCGATTTGTGGCCAAAATAGAAAGGTGAAGCGAGCGCGGCCTTCTTTCACCTCCCGGTTTGTGGCCAAAACCGAGGGGTGAAAGGAGCGAGGCCTTCCTTCACCTCTCGCTTTGTGGCCAAAACCGAAGGGTGAAAGGAGCGCGGCCTTCCTTCACCTTTCGGTTTGTGGCCAAAACCGATGGGTGAAGGGACCGAGGCCTTCCTTCACCTCGGTTTGTGGGCAAAACAGAGGGGTGAAAGGAGCGCGGCCTTCCTTCACCACTCGGTTTGTGGCCAAAGACATACAGAGGCGTGAAAGGACCGCAGCCTTCCTTCACCTCTCGATTTGTGGCCAGAACAAAGGCGTGAGACGAGCGCGGCTAAACCGAGGGGTGAAGGGACCGCAGCCTTCCTTCACCTCTTGGCTTGTGGCCAAAACAGAAAGGTGCAAAGAGTGCGGCCTTCCTTCACCTCTCGGTTTGTGGCTAAAACAGAGGGATGAAAGGAGTGTGGCCTTGCTTAACCTCCCGGTTTGTGGACAAAACCGAGGGGTGAAAGGACCGCGGCCTTTCTTCACCTTTCGGTCTGTGGCCAAAACCGAGGGGTGAAAGGAGCGCGGCCTTCCTTCACCTCTCGGTTTCTGGCCAAAACCGAGGGGTGAAAGGACCGCGGCCTTCCTTCACCTCTCGGTTTGTGGCCAAAACCGACAGGTGAAGGGACCGCGGCCTTCCTTCGCCTCGGTTTGTGGGCAAAACAGAGGGGTGCAAAGAGTGCGGCCTTCCTTCACCGCTCGGTTTGTGGCTAGAACAGAGGGATGAAAGGAGTGTGGCCTTCCTTCACCTCCCGGTTTGTGGACAAAACCGAGGGGTGAAAGGACCGCGGCCTTCCTTCACCTTTCGGTCTGTGGCCAAAA